AAGTGAGAGACAAGATCTCAGTGGACTAGATCTGAGAGGCAACTACAGAAATATATCATTCCAAGACCAAAGGCAGTCAGCACTCATAGAAGGGGGGGGGGGGCACTGGATAGAAACAAAAGGACTAGAAATGGGACACGGAGTGACCCCATGAAACTGAAGAGACTGAGAAACCTGATGGGGGCTCCCTAGTCCAAATAAAGGCAAGAAACCAAAGTGAACAAATATGATTGCTGAAAAGTTACATGACCTCAAGATTATAAAGTATAAGAAATACTCCCAAAAAACCTCATAATTAAGGGTGGCCAGGATGGAAAACAGGTATGTGCACATTTTTCCAGTAAAGTTTCTAAAAAAAAAGGTGAAATGTGGACATATAGTGAAGAGAGAAAGAAAAGAGGAGAGCACTAAACTGAAAGAAGTGGCGGAAGTGCAATAAGTTAGTCTGAGATCCAGCAAATCAAGAAACTGGAGAAAATAAAATACACATCATGTGTAATCCAAGTAGAGAAGGACAAAGATGGGATTACCTGATCCTTGTCAGGAAGAGGGAGCTAGAAGCAAAAGCAGACATGAAAACAGTGTTGGTGAAATTCGTCAAAAGATGGGGCAGGCTTAGCTGAGGTAACAGAAGCAGGAAGTTGGGAATCCTGGATCCAAGATCAGAATGAAACCAACCATCGGGTGGACAATGGTGGTAACACCACAGACTATCAGAGTGCCTCCAATATTGGATGACTCCTGCTGAGGAGTATCAAAACCTCAGGATATGTCAGAAACATGAAAATGTGAATTCATAATCCACATGATTAATAAAACCCATATGCTTGGATAAAACAATGGGAAATAATACTGTCAAAAAACCTTACCACAGACAATTGAACATGTGTCACAAAAGTAAAAATCACATTGATGATAATTTGAATAAAAGTTCTAACTGAAAAATTTTGGTATATTTTTTTTTTAACCAAGAACATCAAGAAATACTACACTATAAATGGCAATGAAAGTTTTAAATTGTAAGTTTCAAAATGCTGTTAATTCTTAAGGAAAAAGAAAACATGTTTGAACATAATAGTGCCAAGAGGCAATTCTACAATTTTTGGGTGGGGGTGCCATATGGAAATCTTTCCATGAAAATTTGGTTATAGTGTTACACAGGTATCTTTGAAAAAAGTTAAGTGGTAAACCATCATTGTTAATGTTTTTAATATATGAACTGTAACTGTATTTCAATATGTTTAACTCAGAAATATTTTAGAATTTGTATTTCATTTTCTGACATTTATTTTTTGTAACTCGTAAAAGAAAAAGTTTATATTTTCATTGCTGCATAAGTGTGAAGAGTTTTGCCTGTAAGCAAAACAACCCACTTGTAGAATATCTTAAAATATATCTGTCCATCCCAAAGAATAACTTTTAAGAACGTATTACCCCTGGAGATAATATTACCCATTTCTTGAGTTACGAGGGTTTCCGGTAGGTTTTGTACAGGGTGGGGTTTTTACCTTGTTATGGTATCACATTAAGTGGTTTGATCATTTACTAATGAAATGCAGCTTTGAAACTAGCTATAAAGAAGGTTTAAATATTATTAAATAGAGAAAGAATTAGACTATCAGGTTATAGTAGAGTAATTATATAGGTTTAGAAACATTTACACAACAAAAAGCTATTACCTAACACCATTGCCCTAAAGATTTTTGCATAAGTCACAAGTTTTGAATGAAGCTCCAACTCCTACACTCAAGCATTTGTACAAGGGCTCATTCTTTTCATAAAAAAGATTCTGAAAAGGGTTTATTTTAAGGGGCG